TTTGAGGCTATCCTCAAATATCTCTTGATCTCTGCTAACAATTTATATTTAAGAGTGAGGCACTAAAAAGCTGATGGGGACTTTTTGACATCTGGGCTTCACTATAGACTGATTGCACAGCTAGCTACTGTTTTTTTGGCAATTACCTAAATGGCCACCTACCCCTCACTAAAACCATCAGTATTTGCAGGTGTTTTCTTTGGAGAGAGAGTCTGTAAGGACTAAATTTGGCTGCCAGTGTTTGGGAGCTTAGAGAGAGAGGGACGCTGTGGGTCTCTACCATCAGTGCACATACTTTCCCTTCACTTTCTTTTCATTGTTACTCTCCACTCCGGGCCATCTGCTTTGCTTGGATCCTGAGTCAAGAGTCTCTCCGGTTTAGTTCTTCCAGAGGATGAACCTGTGAATTTTGCCAGATTGGGGATGGGCTGGTTGTCTGATGACTTTCGTCCAGTTCTCCTATTTTGACTCCTTTATCTCATCTCTGCCTTCTGTGGTACTTGGCCTCCAGTTTTGGACTCTTCCTAGTTTCTGTGATGTAAATGTATTGATTTTCTCCTCTTTATGCTCTTAGGTTTCAGCTTCCTCTGCTCTGCTAAGTCTGCTTTTCGTCTTACAAAAACGGGTTGACATCTCTGGTCTGCTTTGGTCTCCCCTTCCATTCTGTGTGTTTTTCTGAGTTTATACTGTTTCTTCACTGTTATTTCATTGGATTTTTTTGAAGGGTTGCAGAGATAAATATAGAAGTTCAGTCCTTCATATTTAACTGGTTATCAATGATCTAGTGTTACTTTTTCCTTTGAATTTTTTTCAGAAATAAAAAAATGTACCAACACTACCCCTTCAATGAATTTTTTTGTGTGCTACGAATTTAATTAATTCATTCAATATGTTGAAACTACATCAAGCTTATTAAATTTCAGGGTCTCAGCCGTTAGGTGCTGGGTATTATGTTCTGTGTGTGTGTTTAAAAAATTCCTACCATGTTATGTGTTTAGACACTTGGTAAATTTATATTCATAGAATTAATACATTTAATAGCTGTGGTTTTATTTAATTTATTCATTCTAAAGTCTTAGTTTTCACTTTTTAATAAACTTACCTGACCATTTTGTCAATTGGGATTGCTCAGCAAATGAGTAAACCCTATACTAGGTCTTTCTGAAATTGAAAATATTATGGTATTTAATGTGTCACTGTCATCAAAAGGTGATTGATCACTTGCAGGATTTGTGGACACTGTAATACTATGCAGGCTGTTTTTATAATATTTAGCCTAATCTCTTTCAGATGATGTCAGCCTCTTTTGCTTAGATGTCTTTTATGCACTGATTGCCATTGCAATGGACCCATGCTGTCCAATAGGACTTTCTGTGATGATAGAAATGTTCTGTTATTTATACTGTTCAATAAATGTGGTAGCCACTAGCCACATGTGGCTGTTGAGCACATGAAATGACTAGTGCAGTTGGGGAGCTGAAATGAACTTTTCAACTGTAGTCAATTTAAATTTATGTTAAATAGCCACAGGTGACTAGTGGCTTCCATATTAGACAGCACAGTTACAAGTCATTGTTCTTATAGGATGTGCTAACTTTTTAAGTTATTTTATGTTGTCAGTCACTTGAATTAGTTTGGAATAATGTATCCAACAGAGGAATAGGAGTTGACTGAGTTATCCTGACTTTCCTTATTATTATTGGAACTACATTTTTCTTTGGATTTACATAAGAATAAAAATATGCAGATTGCTATTTCAGAATTGAGAATAAAATGTGTTTTAGGTTGGTGTATCATGCTTGTTTTATTTGGAGTATTTGAGGTGCAGATAAGAGATTGAAAATGCAAGTGAAAGGTGAAAGTACTGTTTTGAAACTTCAGAGATTTTTCTCCTAGCCTATAAGAGAAAGGAGAAATACTGCTGAATCAAAGTCTGGTTTGGATTTAGAGTTTTTATATTCTTGAAGACAGTCATGGTAATGTTTTGTTTTGCATTTTTAATGTTTGGATGAAAATACTGTGTTTGTGACCTCAAATGTCTTTGTGATTAATTCAGATTAATTCAGAAAATTTCTTTTGAACCAGGGATGAAGAATAATTGCAGTGAATGCTATAGCATTAATCTTTGGCTAAGTAGAATTGTGGCATCAGTTGAGGTCTGTGGTAAGTTGAATATTGTTAAATTGGTCAAAATTAAGTCAGTTATTTTTTAGTAAAGAAGTAAAAATTTCATAAGACTGAAAACATGGCTTTGATTGTAGAACATTACAATTTTGCTTAACCTTTTTTAGTGAGACAGAGCTTTTTGCAATAATGTTTAGTATAGTTACCAATATAATACATGTAGGTTAGCAAAATATACTGTATTTGCTATTTTATATAGTATTATGACTGTGGCTTCCCTTGTGGCTCAGCTGGTAAAGAATCCGCCTGCAATGCGGGAGACCTAAGTTCGATACCTGGGTTGGGGAGATCCCTTGGAGAAGGGAAAGGCTATCCACTCCAGTATTCTGGCCTGGAGAACTCCATGGGCTGTATAGTCCATGGGGTCGCAAAGAATCAGACAAAACTAAGCAGACTATCGCTTTCATGACTTAACAACTGAATGTTATTATGACCTTCAAGAAGATACTTCAAGCATTTCTTTCCAATTCTTTTTGTTCTTCTGAAGCCTAATACCCCCCCAGGCCCTTCATTCTCAGACAGTGTCTCCTCCCATTTCACAGAATGTGGCACTCCCTCATTTTCCCATCCTCACTTATCAGCTTATAGTCATCATCGCTGATTCTGACCACCCCTTGCAAGTACAGTGAAAAAGTGTCCTGTTTTCACTGCAGAGGCGGGGGGAATGCTTCTACAGAACTATGCTCTTATTTCATTACTTTTTATCTTCTCTTACTTGTATATCAGTTATTACCTGGTTCTTGTCACTTCAGCCTATTTCCACTGTTTTTTCCTGCTATATATGGTTTAATGAGCTCAACATTTTTTTTTATCATTGGGTACAGAAACATATGTAATGAAGAGAGTTGATTCTTCTTAATTCCTTTCTCCCTTTTCTTCTGTCTTCTTGAAAGATCTCTTTATACTTATTTTAATTCTTTCCTTATCAGTCTGTGTTTTAACAAGCGCTCCGCATGATCGTGATGCACACTGACGCTTGAGAACCGCTGCCTGCAGTCCACACTTGTGGATTAACCAAGAAACTCACTATTATTGTTATAAATTGGGAGTGTAGGTTATAGTTTTTAGAGGACTGTTAGTGTATACTTACATAGACAGAGTCTATGGTTGGATGAGTTGTTCTTTAAACCTGGAAACAGTTAATTGTTGGTCAATTAGGTAGGATGAGGTTTGGTTGTTGGGTTTGGAAAACCCGAAATAGCAGTGGCTTAAAAAAGAGGATTCTTTCTTTCTTTCTCACTCTCTCTCTTTCTCTTTCTTTTTCAATACAAGTAATCCAGGTTTGGTGACTGCATGATTATCAGAGACTTAAGCTTCTTTACTCTATTGTTGCTCTACCACCTTCCAACACTCAGCTTCTACTGTGATTCAGTTTGGCTACTGTGGCTATATGATCAGCCTTTTCACATTCTATTCAGCAGGAAGGAAAAAGAGGAGAGGTCATATCGCTTCTTTTTAAAGACACTTCACAAGCAGTTGCCCAAACTTTTAAGTCCCATAGGCCAGAGTTTAGACACTGGTCACACCCAGTTGTAAGGAAGCTTTGGAAATAAAGTTATTTCAGATAGCCTTGTGTGAAAATATAATTAATGATTTAAAAAGTTGTATAGCATTATGTGGTTTGCATTTACCATAAATGATTTTCCAGTTCCCTATTGTTAGACAGTTAAGTTGTTTATAAAATTTTTGTTGCTATTTTTGTTGTTCAGTTGCTCCTACTCCTTGCGACCCCATGTACTGCAGCATGCCAGGCTTCCCTGTCCTTCACTATCCCCTGGAGTCTGCTCAGACTCATGTCCATTGAATCGATGATGCCATCCAACCATCTCATCCTCTGCCACTCCCTTTTCCTCCTGCCCTCAATCCTTCCCAACAGCAGGATCTTTTCCAGTGAGTTGGCTCTTCACATTAGGTGACCAAAGTATTGGAGCTTCAGTTTCAGCATCAGTCCTTCCAATGAGTATTCAGGGTTGATTGCCTTTAAGATCGACTGGTTTGATCTCCTTGCAGTCTAAGGGACTCTCAAGAGTCTTCTCCAGAACCACATTCAAAGGCATCAGTTCTTTGGTGCTTAGCCTTCTTTATGATCCAGCTCTCATATCCGTATGTGACTACTGGAAAAACCATAGCTTTGACTTTATGGACCTTTGTCTGCAAAGTGATGTCTCTGCTTTTTAATGTACTGTCTAGGTTTGTCATAACTTTTCTTCCAAGGAGCAAGCATCTTTAATTCATGGCTGCAGTCACTATCCACAGTGATTTTGGAGCCCAAGAAAATAAAATCCCTTATAAAATTTTTGTTGCTATAAACAAAGTAAAAATAAACAATTCTCTGTCTTTAAAAAGTGAATTAGTGAGCATAAAAGCTGCATGTTAGGATATTGAGTATTATTGGAGAGAACTTTGAAGTAGTAAAAAAACCAGTTTGAGAGTTTCCGCCTAAGACGAAGATAAGAATCTTGAGAGTAGTGGAATTAAGTAATAACTTATAAAGTTTGGACTTTTTAGTCATCTGTTATAGAAAATTAAAGAAATACACAGTATTGCTGACTTAACTAATGCAGTAAAATAGTGTGGATAACTTACATTTGAGCATATAAATGCTTTAAGCTTCATACATTTACTTGAGTCTGAGTCATATGTATTGATCTTTTAGTATTGAAATGACATTTTATTTTTATTTTAGAGTACAAATCTTTCACGTTAAATTGATTTATTCTTTTCCTTTTCCTGAGCTTCACTTAAGAAATAAAACATTGTGTTCTAATATGCATATACCTTCATTAGACTTACTGTAGATTTCTTTTGATTGACAGGCCTTTTTGCAAATGTGTAATCTGCCTATCAAAGTGGTCTGTAGGGCAAATGCTGAATATATGTCTCCATCTGGTAAGTGTCCGTCCTGTCCCATCCCGTCCCGTGTTCCCCCCCCCTGCCCCCGTTAATACTCTGCATTGATAGAATTGCAGTGATAGTCCAGTTTGTACCTAGATTTTTTTAGAATGCCTACACTATACTGTAGTCTGTTAAGTGTGTAATAGCATTGTGGCTAAGAAAAACAATATACATATTTCAATTAGAAATACTTTATTGCTAAAAAAAATTGCTAACCATTGTCTGAACCTTCCGTGAGTCAAACCCTTTTTGCTTGTGGAGGATCTTTCCTCCATGCTGATGGCTACTAACTGATCAGGGTGGTGGTTGCTAAAGCTTGGGGTGGCTGTGTCTATTTCTTAAAGTAAGACAACACTGAAGTTTGCCTCATTGATTGACTCTTCCTTTCACAAATGGTTTCTCTGTAGCATGCAATGCTGTTTGCTAGCATTTTACCCCGCAGTAGAGCTTCTTTCAGAACTGGAGTCAGTCTTCTCAAATACTGGTGCTCTTTTATAAACTAAGTTTATGTAATATTCTCATTCCTTTCTTGTCATTTCAACAGTCTTCACAGCATCTTCAGTAAGAGTATATTCCAAGAAACCACTTTCTTTGCTCATCTATAAGCAGCAACTCTTCATCCTTTAAAGTTTTATAACAGAATAATAATGAAAATGTTTGAATTATTGTGAAAATTACCAAAATGTGATACAGAGACATAAAGTAAGCAAATGCTGTTGGAAAAATGGCACCAATATACTTAGTCAATGCAGGGTTGCCACAAACCTTCAGTTTATAAAAATGCTCAATATTTGCAAAGCACAATAAAGCAAAATGCAGTAAGATGATGTATATATAAACTCTTTGTTCCAAGAACTCCAAACTGGATATTGGAAATGAGAAATACACTTTGCTCTCAAAATGTACCACCCCAAAATACTCTTCAGTCTGGATATTCATTCACCAACAGTTTTCATTCTGTAATCATATTATCTCAGAGGACCTGCACTATTTCTAGCAGTATAGTAGTTGTAAAGATTTTATCCCAAGTTAAAAAAAAAAAGGGGAACCAAAGCCTAAAAAAAAAAAAATTTTTTTCTCTTTTGTAAGATTTATAAAGCTGTAGAAAAAAAGAATGCAGAATTCAGTGTTTTTATATTGGTAAGTGGAAATGTCTTCTAAATTCATTTGCTGAGTTGTATTCCAAAAGGCCTGTGTTTCCTTTGTAATGTTATCCTATGGATGCAGATGAAGCTTTTGTTGGTGCAGTGCACCTCATCCATTACCCTCAGGCTGTCTGAGCCAGAGGGGAGTGAATCTATTGAAAAGGACCAAGAAGAAGCCCGCTGTTAGTGTGAACTCTATTTGAACTAGGTCTGACAGAGTTTCATCCTATAGCATTTGAGGTAGACTTTATTACTATTTGGAGATTGTCATCTCTGATAATTTCACCAATTATTAGTATTTATAAAATTAAAATATTACTTTTTAATGTGATATTTACTTAGAGAAGCCAGTTTTTCTTTAAATTAAACTGATTTATTTTAATTGGAGGCTAATTACTTTACAATATTATAGTGGTTTTTGCCGAACATTGACATGAATCAGCCATGGGTGTACATGTGTTCCCCATCCTGAACCCCCCTCCCACCTCCCTCCCCATCCCATCCCTCAGGGTCATCCCAGTGCTCCAGCCCTGAGCACCCTGTCTCAAGCATTGAATCTGGACTGGCGATCTGTTTCACATATACATATACTTGTTTCAATGCTATTCTCTCAAATCATTCCACCCTCGCCTTCTCCTACAGAGTCCAAAAGACTGTTCTTTACATCTGTGTCTCTTTTGCTGTCTTGTATACAGGGTCATCAGTACCATCTTTCTAAATTCCGTATATATGCGTTAATATACTGTATTGGTGTTTTTCTTTCTGACTTACTTCACTCTGTATAATAGGCTCCAGTTTCATCCCCCTCATTAGAACTGATTCAATGTATTCTTTTTAATAGCTGAGTAATATTCCATTGTGTGTATGTACCACAGCTTTCTTATCCATTCGTCTGCTAATGGACATCTAGGTTGCTTCCATGTCTTGGCTATTGTAAACAGTGGAGAAGCCAGTTTTTATAAGCATGCTATTTATTCTTTTTTTCCCACATGTGTTGGGAGCAAACTTTGTATTATAATTCATAAGCTAGCATACCTTCAAAGATTGTTATTCACTTAATTCCTGATATTTTTGAATCAGATACATTTATTAATGCACCATTATGTGCTTAAACAATTGAACTCAATGGTTGTCTGAGAGATGAAAGTAGTAGATGTAAAAAAAAAAGTTTATAAATATTGTTTAAATATAGGTTGATTTATTGTAGTTTGAAGGGAAGACCTAGTTAAAGTTTTAAAAATCTATCAGTCATGAAACAGTGTCCAAGCTTAGCTCATATAATTTAGATAATTAGTATTTACTGCTGCATAGTGATTTGTTAGTGTTAACTCTGAAAAGGGAGTATTATGTTATTATATGCAAGTGAGAGCTCTAGAAATGAATCTTGTTTCTTTTATTTTAAAGTTAATGTTAGAAAATTTTTATAATTTAATATACATGCTAAACTATAATTTTAAAAAGTCATAATGTTACAAAACTCTGTATTAATAAGACATAACCAAGTTTTGTGTTGATTTCCTTTTTAGCACAAACTTTAATTTACTGGTCATGTTCTCACATTGTTTTTCCCCCTCCACAGGCAAAGTACCTTTTATTCATGTAGGAAATCAAGTAGTATCAGAACTTGGTCCAATAGTCCAATTCGTTAAAGCCAAGGTAATAAAAAAGATATTCAATGCATTTGATCACAGTTACTCTTAAATAGGTCATTCATCATCTTTAGTGTGTTGTAGCATTTACATTGATTTTAACCTAGTTTTATAAAATGCTGATATAAACTCCTGGAGAAATATTTCTGAAGAGTAAGTTTTTTTTTTACTTTCATAATGTAAATCAATGGTAAAAGAGGCCATTTGATCTTTACAAAATGAGAGATAATTTTCTCACTCATGTTTATGAGAATTTTGGTCACAAATGAAAATGTTGTAAAATATCAGGTTAACTTTTGAGAAGGGAGTTATAGAATGTTTACAAGTTCAATGTACTCCTTTACCCATTATTCAGTTTAGATTTTAACAGTTATCAAAGAACAACCTCCGTTAACATTTTGGGGGACATCCATCCAGAATTTTTTTTGCATATGTAGAAAAGTATAGGTAATAATAGTATTATTTTGAAACCTGCCTTTTAAAATCATCAATATGTTTAGAAATTCTTCCATGTTAATGACTATAAATGTGTAATATCCTTTTAAATTGTTGTATAGTATTCTTTTGTATTCAGTTCAGTTCAGTCCCTCAGTTGTGTCTGACTCTTTGCGACCCCATGGACTGTAGCACACCAGGCCTCCGTGTCCATCACCAGCTTCCGGAGTCTACTCAAACCCATGTCCATTGAGTTGGTGATGCCATCCAACCATATTACCGTCTGTTATCCCCTTTTTCTCCCACCTTCAATCTTTCCCAGCATCAGGGTCTTTTCCAATGAGTTAGTTCATTGCATCAGGTGGCCAAAGTATTGGAGTTTCAGCTTCAGCATCAGTCCTCCTAATGAACACCCAGGACTGATCTACTTTAGGATGGACTGGTTGGATCTCCTTCCAGTCCAAGGAACTCTTAAGAGTCTTCTCTAGCACCACAGTTCCAAAGCATCTTTTGTATTAGAATTTTTTTTACTTAATTCTTTATTGATGGACACTTAAGTTGTTGGCAACTTTTTGCTGTTATTGAGTGCTAAGATAAATATTCTTTTATATACACCTTTGTACAAATTATCTCCTTAGCATAAATTCCTAAGAGTGATATTACAGTGTTAGAGGGTATACATTTTAAAAATTTTACAACAGATCATCAGATTGAACTAAAGTTTATACTATTTTATATGTCTCGTCATTACTGTAGTGTATTAGAATTTAAAAATTAGTGTCTATTTCCCTATCCTTTACTAATAACACTTTAAAAAATCTTTGACCACTTTATAAGTAACACATGTCAATCTTTGGAATTTATTTTATCACTAAGATTTAGTGTCTTAAAAAAACACAGTTTACTGACCATCCTTGTTTTCTTATTTGGTGAAATAATAAATTTTATATCTTGAATGATACAGTTTTATAATGACAAGTAAATATTTCTTATTATTTTGTAGTCATAGCAGAGTATTATTTTTTCACATAAAATAATTATGTTTTGGGGACATTTTGGAAACTAATCCTTTGGACATTTGCAGTAAAACATTGATGTTGTATTACTTGGTAGTAAGATAACTGAAAGTTTTTGTGTTTAATATGATACTGTTTAAAATTTTTTTAAATTCCCTCTAGGGCCATTCTCTTAGTGATGGGCTGGATGAAGTCCAAAAAGCAGAAATGAAAGCCTACATGGAATTAGTCAACAATATGCTGTTGACTGCAGAGGTATAATAGAAGATAATAGGCCTTGAAAATAAGCTTTTTCTCTCATAAAAGATTATCTTTCTTATGGGTTATTTTTAAGTTACTGAAATAAAGGAAAATAGTCAAGTAAACTCTAGAGCTAGTATAGTTACCCAGATTATTTGATCATTATGTTTGAATAAGTTGCCTGTTTTTTCATTTCTAGTTTTTCCTTTTTGTAAACAGGAGTGATCATTTTATTTTAGTCTTATGAAGTTTTCTTAAGTAATATCCGTAAAATACTCTAATAGCATTTAGAGATATATTTTATGAATAAAAAATATTTTTTAGGTGCCATAATTAAGCTTAATAATTCTGTGTAGAACATTAGCCAAGGGAAGAAAAAAACCCTCACATATGTGACTGCTATGATACTGGTTTATAAAAAATTACTCTGGCAAGAAATAACTTACTTTATCCATTTTCTCTTTTATATTCTAAAGTTTTGGTGACTGGTTTTTTTTTCTTTTCCTAGCTGTATCTTCAGTGGTGTGATGATGCTACTGTAGGAGAGGTGAGTGGTTCTGCAGCATTTATCTTAATTAAAATTTAATGAAAAAACACTTTTGCTCAGAATCGTAAGTCCCTGCTCATAAATGAAACATTGTGGTTTGTACCATTAGTGATATAGTTTTTCACTTAACTTTAATTTTGCTTACACATACATTTTGGGGAAGCTATGTGTTTGATATAGCTGGTTTCAACAAAGTACATAAAAGTTTATATATTTTTAAAGGGAATGGTTTAAAATTTTAATTTTAAGATTGCAAGCTATGTTTTTGTTTCTCTGCAAGTATATTTCCTTTAGAAATCTATTTGTGAAAGCACTTTATTTTTAGGATTGCAATTTTAACATAATCTTTTTGCTTTAGATCACTCTTGCTAGGTATGGATCTCCCTACCCTTGGCCTCTGAATCATATTTTGGCCTATCAGAAACAGTGGGAAGTCAAACGTAAGATGAAAGCTATTGGATGGGGTAACAAGACTCTGGACCAGGTCAGTTCAGGTTGAAGTTGATAAAACCCTCAACTTTAATGCATAAAGAAAAAGAATTTTAAAAATTCATAGTCCTTTAAAAAAAAAATCCCAACATAATAAAAAAAAATTAACAAAACATTTGTTCTTATTTTTTCTGACATGAGGTAGTTTATTGTTTTGTGAAAATCATGCATGCTTATCGTAAGACAAATTATGTAATACAGAAAACTTCAGAAAGGGAATAGAAATTGCTTTGGATCCTACCACCTAGAAATTGCCATTGTAACTATGTGAAAAACATTCTTCTAGATGTCTCTTAATAACATCTTTAAAAAATGGGATCATATTATACTCGCCACTTTCTAACCTAATTTTTTTTTCCATTCAACAATACATTGTGGGCATTTTTTATGCTAGTATATATAGATCTGCAGCATCAGGGCTTAAAAAAAAAAAACTCTGTTAAATGCAGTGCTTAATATTCCCACTTTTCTTTGGTCTTAAATTTACTGAAGTAGCAAAATTATAAAAATATGAGTTTGAGTATCATTAAGCTTATTAATATCTCTCTTTCAAGGATATCCCTAGTCCTAGCAAGCCAACCATTGATTTGTGCCACTGGCCATGAGGAGGATTGGGTAATTGAAAGGAACAGAGTAAATAATATCTGTTTTCCACTAGTGGAAAACAATTCAAATGCTTTCTATTCATGGTAGATCAGTAGAGTCATCTTTATGAAGCAAATACTTTGATACATGTGAAATCATTTGATTATACGGATTCAGGAAAACTTTTATAGGGAGTAGAGTTTTTTTTTGGGGGGGAGTAGAGTTTTGAGATAAAAACCTTCTTGATCATAATCCTTATGAGTAACTTAAATGTACTTGCATTTAAAGGAAATTTGTTCTCAAATTTTCCTATTTCTTATATAGAAAGTATTACTTATGCTCTCTATGTGGTCTCTTGTCTGACTTAAATATACTATAAAAGGTTACCTAAATTTATTATAAACTATGTTACAAATGAAGTTTTAGACACATTTTTTTGTTTGCTAATTTAAATATTTTTCTTTGGGGTCTGTTGTTTGTGTTAGGTCTTAGAAGATGTAGACCAGTGCTGTCAAGCTCTTTCTCAAAGACTGGGAACACAACCATATTTCTTCAATAAGCAGTAAGGATTTTATTCTTTTTAGTTAGTTTCTTTTCTATATTGTTATTTTGTCATATATATAATATCATTTTGTCATAGAGGAATTGTTTTATCAAGAAATATTTATGAAAACAGTTACATTAAAATTTATTTTTGCATTCATTAAACATTTAACTTCTTGAGTATCAGGCACAGCACTAGCTTCTGGGAGACTAAGATTTTTAAACTGTGGTGCTAGCCATTGAGAATTTTCTTCTTCATGTAAATCCATGGCTAATTCATTTCAATGTATGACAAAAACCACTGCAATGTTGTAAAGTAGTTAGCCTCCAACTAATAAAAATAAATGGAAAAAAAAAAAGAATTTTCTTCTGAAGGCAGATGTGTAAACCCGTCATTATAGTATGATATAGAGGTTCTACTAGAAATATGTCAAGGTGCTTTGTATGGAACTATGACATCTTAAAATTCTGAGCTTGCAAAGTACTATTAAAACATGAAGTGTAGCCATTGTATGTATAGGATAATTCCCTGAGGACTAGAAAAGTGAATAAAACTAAACAGTAAAAAATACTGTTGGATAGACAAGCACTATTAGAAATTTTTTCTTTTATAAATTTAATGAAAATATTGTAAAGCATAGAAATGATTGTGAAGGATATAGATTCAAAATATGTATGTATATATGTGAATTGAGTATTTCATGTTTCATTAAGATAGAATTTTTTGTAATTTGGAAAATAATATCTAATGTAGGCAAAGAATGATTTTTTCCTTTTTTTTTTTAAGTTACTATTTTACTATATCAGAATCAATTATCCTGTGATCTAGTTTAAGATTGGTTTAAATAAACATTTTAACCTCAGTGGTTTGCTTAGAATCAAATCTTTTTTTAGCTTTAATAAAAATCCCTTGACTTTTAGATTGATAATTTTTAAAAAGATTTATTTGCTATTATTTATTATATCTTCATAGGCATTCATCTGTAGCTATATCAAACATCTTTTGGTAGAGATATTAATATTTGTAGCAAAAATGACAATGATGATAGCCAGGAAATATTTAAGTTATATTAATGTATATGCTATACAATTGATATTCAAATAAAACTGGAGTCTGTTGATCTTTGAAGCAGAAAATGTCATAGAGTTCAAACCATGAAATCCTGGTAGGTGAAGCTTCTATAGCTATATGTTCTTATTTCTAGTGATGTTTGCTAGACTGATTCTAGTTGTTTAGTCTCTAATACAAAAGAAATGTATCAAAATGTTACTATTATGTAGTTCCTTTTCTTTCTGATACAGGAATTCATAGGAGCTGAAAAGCTTAAAAAAGGTATATTTTATTAATCCAGCTTGAACATCTGGAAGTTCACGGTTCATGTACTGTCGAAGTCTGGCTTGGAGAATTTTGAGCATTACTTTACTATCATGTAATTATTTTTAAACTTGTAATTAAAAATTCAAAGTTTAGAATAGGTGCAAAAATAAGGTTTATAACTGAGAAACTGTTTAACTGGTATTAAGATGTAGGTTTTTGAAATAATTTTACCTTATATGAGAATTAAACATTTTTATTTTTGAAGTATAGAATACGTTTAATTTTACTCAGTTGTTTAATACTACTAAAATTTATTTCCCTGTGAATCTTCTGCTTACCCTCTAAAATTAGAATCAGCTTTTCTTCTAGCTTACTTACTGGACATGTTGAGAGGCCTCATGAAAGAAACTCAGTCACTCTTGAGAAGAAAGGGAAAGAGAGTTGAGGGAGATCTTGCGAGAATTTGTTGTTGCCGTTTAGTGCTAAGTCGTATCTGACTCATTGCGACCCCATGGACTGTAGCCCATCAGGCTCCTCTGGTTCATGGGATTCTCCAGGCAACAATACTGGAGCAGGTTGCCATTTCCTTCTCCAGGGGATCTTCCTGACCCAGGGATTGAACCTGCATCTCATGCATTGCAGGCAGATTCTTTATCAAGGAGCAACCAGGGAAGCTCTGTCGCAAGAATAGTAATTGGGAAAAGGAGACAAAGAAGCTCAGTGGTGGAAAGGAAAAAGGAAGGTGAATTTGAAAACAAATTAGAAATAATACAAAGTGGATACTAATGATTGTTGACCTTTTTATCCTTCATGATACACAATGTTGGTGTGTGCTTAGTCTCTCAGTCGTGTCTGACTCTGCTCCTTTGTCCATGGCTAGTCTCCAGGCAAGAAAACTGGAATGGGTTGCCATGCTCTCCTCCAGGGGATCTTCCCAACCCAGAGATTGAACCCAGGTCTCCTGCATTGCAGGCAGATTCTTTACCATCTGAGCCACCAGGGAAACTCATATTTCTAAAATGAAAGTCAAATAAAATCTGTGCTATCTGTTGTATACACATGACCTTGCTGATGTGATGCCTGTTAAGACACCTATACGAAAACTGGATCATTTGTTCCCTTTGACCTGGTGGGTGGATTTGAAATAAAAACCTGAAAGTTTTCTTAAAGTGATATTTTCCTGTTACTTTTTAATAAAGAGGAAGAAGTAGAAAAAAAAATATTTTTTATAAATGTAATCAGGATAGTAAGAGTTATACTACTCTAAAGCATTTATGAGCTCCTTGCAGGTCTAAGTGTTTTCCAAACAAAATCTGTTAGAGGAAACTCAATAGATGTTGGTTAAAACTAGATTAAATTGAATGAGAAATTGAAAAAGAGTTAGATTTGAAAAAGAAAAAAATACTGCTGTTAACCATTAAGTAAGTAGTAAAAATTGAAAATTATACCTTCATATACAGATTGGAAATGCAAAAATTATACTTGTGAACCTTAAGAAAACTTTCAGGGGGGAGTAGGATTTCATTGAGGTTTTTTAAATTAAGAAATCACCAGTTAAGAAAATTAAAGAGAAATTGCTCAAAAATACCCACAGGCAAAATACCCAAAGCAAAATATAGCAAAGTTAATGGCAAGAAGCTTGATTTACAAATTTGAGTGATAGTCCTAAAGATCAGTGATCGATATAAAGAAAGGATATGTAAATTATTTCTGTTAGTATGAAGAAATGACAAGTTAATAGTATAACAGGAAAGAAAAATAAGGGAACACTCAGACAAAATTAATGTTTTTGGAAAGAAAAATTAGAGAACACTCAAGACAAAATTAATGTTTTGGAAACTAGACTATGAAAGGTATCAAAAAGAAAGAAATATGGAACCATAACAATTGAAGAAAATGAAAAGGATGAGTGCAAGAATTTTTAATGGAAAGGTTAGGAAAACATTCATATTTTATGGTATTGTTTTTATTTTGATATGCAAATGAAAGACTAGTAGGTGACTGATGGATGTTAACTGAACCTATTGATAGCAATTTTATAATATATGTAAATCATGCTATCATGCTGAACTTATACAGTGATGTATGTTAATTATTTTTCAATAAAACTGGGAAAAAAAAGAATAGTGGATAACCAACAGAGAAGTAGAAAGAATGATAATGCAAGATGAGAAGGCAACATTATGAAAGATGTTAAATGTCTTAGGAGGGGAGTTGCTGTTTATATCCAAATTACAATCCACAAACTACTTAGTGGGTAGAAGGGTAGAAATGTTATGTTTTCTCTCTATATTGTATAGAAAGGATAATTAAAGCTGGAGGTACATGAAATCTTGGCTTGATTACATGATTCAATAGAAATACTGAATGTCTCATAGGAGTTGCAAACATTTTTCTGAGTTTATTGTTTTTTTTAAAAAAGTCAAGTTTGTGGTATAATTTACAAAAAGTAAAATCGGCACTTTTATGTGTGTATAGTTTTGTGAGTTATAGCAGTGGTATATAGTTGTGTCCCACTACCACAGTGTACTCTTTATTTATTTTTAACAATATCAATATTTCAGTATACAGTCATTAAAAGGAAAGAGAAAAAGAAACAATAGAGAAGAGTAACAGCACATACACAGTGTACTTTTTGAAAAGAGAGTTGTGGGAATTGATGACTTATATGCCAGAGTCAGCTCATGTAAGTAGTTGCTGAAGGATTGCAAAAAACACGCATTAGAAGTTACGCGTGTGTTTTGATTTAGTGTAGTTTATCCTACTTCCTGTTAGGTGTTCTAAAAGTAGTTGGTCATGAAGTTGCGGTCTTTAGGTAACATCAGATCAATTTTTATATGCTTGTTACCTGTATATAATTCAGCACCTTTTGAGTTATATAGATTACATTTGCAGCAGATAACATTTTAACCACTTCAGGGGTACTACTAGACCACTCTGGTTTAAACATACCTTCATACCCAAGCTCATTCAGAGCCTTCATTTATTGAGAAAAGATGCCCTACTACTAGAAGTTGCATTGCAGAATATATTCACCTCCTTTAGGCTCTAGTACAAGAAACAGAGGGTAGTTAATCCTAAGTAAAGATTAGAAAAATAAATCCTAAATTGATAAGATACACATTTTAAGAAATATGCTTAGGGATTTGGAAGGATTGGTGTTCGTATTACTTCTCATAGAGTGCCTCAGCTCTACATTATCTACCTTCTGCATCTTTGGTTTTTTTCAGGTGTTCATTTGTTGTTAATTCTTAATCTGTGATGCTAGGATCATAGTGCTATTAAGTCCCAGGACACTTGTGATTTTTTTTTTTAAACTATCCTGTTGACTACCTTCTTAAACATGGCCATAAATTGCACATTTGACTTTGATTAATAGTTCATGAATGTGTCAAAAGAGGGAAGGCTTTGGAAGACTGTGAATAACTACTATTGGAAAATTAAATATTCTATACAGCTTAGGATGCTTTCTTTTTTGTTTCATTATTCATTTAGCATATAACCATTCAGTTCCTTAGATTCCTTGCTAAGAACTGGGATTATAAAGATATATGTTTTGTTACCTTCAGAGAACTTAGGGAATAAGAGAGAAACATTAAGTAAGTAGTTATAATATGGTATGAAAAGTACTTCACCTTTTTATTGGTTCATTTAAACACATACTTATTGAGAACTTACTTTGGGCCAGGCGTTGTTCTAGGTAATGGGGACATAATAGGAAACAAGTAGACAATGTCCTGGTGGAAGGAGACAGACAATTAAAAACAAATATGAGAAAGTTTTAAGTGCCATATGGAGAATTAAAATAGGATCACATCACAGTAAGTGACTATATGCCCAATTTAGTTTGCATGGTCAGGGGAGACTTTCAGATGTGACATTTAAGCTGTATTCTGAAAAACAAGGAGGAACCAGCAATGTGAAGTCAAGGGAAGGGTGTTCCAGCAGCAGGAATAGTTGGGTCAAGTCCCTAAGATTGGCTAGTTTATGTTCAGATGAAAGAAGCAAAGCCATTTATGGTTGTGTGTTGAAAATGGTGTGGCTCAGATGGTAAAGAGTCTGCCTGCAGTGCAGGAGACCTGGGTTTGATCCCCGGGTTTGGAAGATCCACTGGAGAAGGAAATGGCAACCCGCTACAGTACTCTTGCCTGGAAAATCCCAAGGACGGAGGAGCCTGGCCGGACAGAGGAGCCTGGCAGGAACAGTCCATGGGTTCACAGAGTCAGACACGACTGAGAGACTTCACTTTCACTTTCACGGCTGCAGAGGTGATCCAGAGCCAGATCATCTGAGACTTGTATGCTTTGGGTAAGGAGTTTGGCATGATAGTGTGAGTAGAGTGGAAATTCTCTGGAATGTTTTATGCTTGGCGTGGTGTGAGCTGGTGATGTTTTTTGAAAAGTAGCAGAGCAGCTAAGTAGAAGCAAGGAGATAGGGTAGGAGGGTAGTATGGTTGTCTTGGTGAGATGATGGTGGCTCAGATGAGGGGATGATAATAGAAAAGTGGTGGTCTTCAGGACGTGTTTTGGTGGTTATGTCTCACCTGGCTTGCTAATAGATGTGAGAGGATAAGAGCAGACTCAGGGGAACTCAGATTTTTGGCTTGAACAGGTGGTGCATATAGGGGCATATAGACTTTAATTTTAAGAAGATGAGGAGATAAGCTGATTTGAGATCATTATTGAACATTCATGTGGAGATGTTTGAATGTATTATTCTGGACTTCAGGGGAGAGACTCAGACTGGAGATAAATATTTAGGAATTAGTGACATGAAGACATATAAAGCCATGCAGCTACAAGAGGTCATTCATGAGTGGCGATCAAGGTTACATAGCTAGTAAGTTAGTGGCAGAATTAGGATTTGACAAAACCCCATTGCAGGGGAAATATCAATAACCTCAAACATGCAGATGACATAACCCTTATGGCAGAAAGCAAAGAAGAACTAAAGAGCCTCTTGATGAAAGTGAAAGAGGAGAGTGAAGAAGTTGGCTTAAAACTCAGCATTCAGAAAACTAAGATCATGGCATCTGGTCCCATCACTTCATGGTCAATAGATGGGAAGACAATGGAAATAGTGACAGACTTTATTTTTTTGGGCCCCCAAATCACTGCAGATGGTGACTGCAACCATGAAATTAAAAGATGCTTGCTCCTTGGAAGAAAAGTCATGACCAACCTGGACAGCATATTAAAAAGCAGAGATGTTACTTTGCCAACAAAGGTCCGTTAAAACAAAGCTACGGTTTTTCCAGTAGTCATGTATGGATGTGAGAGTTGGTCTATAAAGAAAGCTGAGCACCAAAGAATTGATGCTTTCAAACTGTGGTGTTGGAGAAGACTCTTGAGAGTCCCTTGGACAGCAAGGAGATCCAACCAATCCATCGTAAAGGAGATCAGTTCTGAATATTCACTGGGAAGACATGCTGAAGTTGAAACTACAATACTTTGGCCACCTGATGAGAAGAACTGACTCATTTGAAAAGACCCTGATGCTGGGAAAGATCGAAAAGATCGAAGGCGGGAGGAGAAGGGGACGACAGAGGATGAGATGGTTGGTTGGGATCACCGACTCAATGGACATGAGTTTGAGTAAACTCTTGGAGATGGTGATGGACAGGGAGGCCTGGCGTGCTGCAGTCCATGGGGTCACAAAGAGTTGGACATGACTGAGTGACTGAACTGAACTGAAAAGGTCTATTTTGCCAGACCAGGTTACTGCAACATATTTTTACATTTCAGGTGGATTAACATATTTTCTCTATAACTTAGGACTACCACTGTAGGATTGACAGCAATAATTACTGATGGCATATAATGATGTGTTTTCTCCTTTTAGTAATACTGTGCTGTGCTTAGTCACTCACTTGTGTTCAACTCTCTGCAACCCCACGGACTGTAGCCCTCCAGGCTCCTCTGTTCATGGGGATTCTCCAGGCAAGAATACTGGAGTGGGTTGACATGCCCTCCTCCAGGGGATCTTCCTGACCCAGGGATTGAACCCATGTCTCCCCCATTGCAGGCAGATTCTTTACCATCTGAGCCACTAGGGAAGCCCAATATTGTGCTAATGCAGTATAATGAGAGGGTTCAGGGTGCTGACCCTCTGCTACAGTTGAAAATCCATGTATAACTTTAGAGTTAAACCTCTGTGTCTGTGGCTCCGCATCTGCAAACAGATCAGTCAACCGTGGATTGTGTAGTAATGCAGTATCTATTTATTGAAAAAAAAAAACTTGGCATGTAAGTGGACCTTAACAACAATTCCAGCCAGCCTTGTTCACAGGTCTATTGTAATTATTTTAATATAATGTAAATTCATGATATCCCATATATAGACCATTGGTAGCAAGGTAGATAAATTTCATCTTTTTGTTAGGGATATTTAATTAAAGGGGAAAAATTTTTGTTGAAGCCATTTTTGTATATCCTTCAGAAAGCTAAGTTTACTTTAAAAAGAGTAAGTAAACTTGCTTTCTTACTTTTATATCTTTAGCGTCTGGCAGTTACTGGCTCATTGGAGACCTGTTGTATATTTAGTGAATAACTTAATAAAATTAATGTGATTATTTACACTAATATTATTTTAACACATTTAAATGATACTACTATTTAAGAAGGGCTTCCCTGATAGCTTAGTTGGTAAAGAATCCGCCTGCAATGTGGGAGACCCCAGTTTGATTCCTGGGTCAGGAAGATCCACTGGAGAAGGGATAGGCTACCCACTCCATTATTCTCTGGTTTCCCTTGTGGCTCAGGTGGTAACGAACCACCTGCAGTGTGGGAGACCTGGATTTGACCCCTGGGTTGGGAAGATCCCCTGGAGAAGGAAAAGGCTACCCACTCCAGTATCCTGGCCTAGAGAGTTCCATGGACTGTATAGTCTATGGGGTTGTAAAGAGTCGAACAGACTGAGTGACTTTGGGCTTGCCTGGTGGCTCAGACGGTAAAGAATCTTCCCGTAATATGGGAGATCCGGGTTCAGTCGCTGGGTTGGGAAGATCTCCTGGAGAAGGGAATGGCAACCCACTCCAGTGTTCTTGCCTGGAGAATGTCATGGACAGAGGAGTCTGGTGGGCTACAGTCCACGGGTTCGCAAAGATTTGGACATGACTGAGCGACTAACACACACACTATTTGAGAAAGCAAGTCACATAACCAGCACATCATAGTTCAGAAGTTTTCATATATTTTAATAGAAACTCCAGTAAAATAGAATAAATTCTATCAGGTTGGGGTAGGATTTATTTCTTAAGTTAGTTTTTTCTTTTAAATATAATAATAAAGTGTTTATTTTCTACCTTGTAAGTTAAACCCTGTTCATGTTGCTCTCATTTCTGCTTTTGTCTTAGGCCCACTGAACTAGATGCACTGGTATTTGGCCATCTGTATACCATTCTTACTACACAAATGACCAATGATGAACTTTCTGAGAAGGTGAAAAACTACAGCAACCTCCTTGCTTTCTGTAGAAGAATTGAACAACACTATTTTGGCAAAGGCAGCTCATCTATCAGATTGTCTTAGATTATGTGTTAATTTAGTTATTATTAAAAAATTTAAACTTCTGAAATATGTGTTACTTGAATGATGTAATAGATAATAGTATAAGAATTCAAAGCCCAAAATACTGCTTTTCAAAACCTCAGAACAAATTATGTAATATATCATATACATGTACTTTATACTTGTGTACACATTAAATAATTTTAAATGATTTCATTTGATATGTTGTACCCCGTATCTTTGAAAGTTTTGTTTTTTTGACACTTGTATGCATATAAAAATAAAGCTCAAACAACTATATGGCTGGTGTATTTATTAATACTTTCCATCTTTCTGAAAGCTGTTCTTTGAGCTTTATATGTGTAATAAACAGTGTCTTTTCTAAGGCAGTAATTTGTGTTCCATACTCCCAAGATTACTAGATACATGATGAACCTGGTCATGGGAAATACGTTCTTAACAGTGTACTTAAAAAATGCAAATGATTACAAAGCATTTAAATCCTGGAACAGATTTAAGAGCATTTTTCTTACGTTAACTTTATTGAACTTAAAAACATTTTTTCAGAGGAGCTATACTTTACATTTGATAAAAAGATAGTTTTAAGAACTTAATTTTTTTTAAACTTCTTTTGGAATAGAATATTTTAATATTGCTGTTTTATTCCTTTTGTGGGGAAGTTGAGGCTTTCCTGTAGGCTTAGACGGTAAAGAGTCTACCTGCAATGCAGGAGACCCAGATTTGATCCCTGGGTCAGGAAGATCCCCTGCAGTAGGAATGGCAACCCACTTCAGTTTTCTTGTCTGGAAAATTCCATGAACAGAGGGGCCTGGTGGCTGCAGTCCATGTGGTTGGAAAGAGTCGGACACAACTGAGAGACTTAACACTTTCTTTACACTTTTTATTTTCTGAGGATAGTTTCCACACAAGTATTTATTTATACCCAGACACTAGGGTTATATGCTGTATTTCTTTCAGTTTTTTGAATATTTTATGTAAAACCAGGGATGCTGTAAGAGTCAGATGTAAAAATCATTTCTTAAAATTGTCTAGAATAGTAGTATTTTTATGTTTATTTATGTACCAGACATTTTAACTCATCTAATCCTTACAAAAACCATGAAGGTTATTACCCCCAGTTTACACAAGAGGAAATGGAGACACAAAAAGTAAGTGGTAGAATTGGATTTCAAACCCAGGCTGTCTTGGCATTTGTTTGGCTTTTTTGAAGAACACTATAATTTTTTTCTAAGATGATAGATTTATACCTTTTAAGGAATGTATTAGGTTCTCCTTAACCCAAGTCCCATGTAAACATTGGGTTCTCACTTTTGACTGTAGTGCTATTCATTATAGCTTTCCTAAACTAATTTTGTAATTTGTATTATTATTTTAAAAAATTCCAATTTACGTGTGCTTTTGTACAATTTTTATGACAGGTTTTTTGGCTCTGTATCTTTATATGATTTTTTTTTTTATAATGGATAAGATTCTCTTCTCTTAATAATACCATTATTAAAGGAAATTAATACATTCTTGTAAATGCTGCTGTTCTCTCCAAGGAACCATAAGGGACAGTTTCTAAGGTTCCTGCCATGCCCCCCATTTTTTGTTTTCTTTTTCCTTTTCTTTGGTGAACTTCCTGTGAGGTCCTTGGAGAAAATCCTGTGAGTAAATGTGAATTCCTCTTGGTTTGTGGCCTCCAAGGTTTTGATGGTCTTCTGTTAGCTCACACTCTGCCCGCCTTAAGTCATTAGAGTATTAGCTGAGTTCTTACTGTTGTCCGGTAGTGTCTTTTTCAGGTAAACAGGTGCTCATGTCCCTTCTCTCCTTAGATTTGGGTTAGTTGGCCCTGTAACCTCAGCTTTCGGCTGGGTTCAAGAACCAGAATGAATTTTTGTATGGTGTTTATTGTTATTACAAGATAGGGAGCAATGCTTTTCTTTACATTCTGAAATGGGAAATCTGGGAATCTGGGTTGCTTTTTATTCTTGAGATAAGAAATGCTCATTAAGAATTAAAAGTGCTGAATTTTTAAAGTGGTTTATTACGAAGAATTTCAAACATGAAGAGAAAATAAGAATTCCCAGGTACCTATGAACTTACCTCACTTCAACAGTTAGCAACTCAGGGAGGTCTATTCCCCCCCCCACCCCCTTTTTTTTATATGCTTTATATGTTGCACAGAAGTTCATGTAAGTCTGCTTTTGAAGATGTAGTATAGAAACATTCTTTTTTTTTTAATTAGTTGGAGGCTAATTACTTTACAATATTGTAGTGGTTTTTGTCATACATTGACATGAATCAGCCATGGATTTACATGTATTCCCCATCCCGATCCCCCCTCCCACCTCCCTCTCTGCCCGATCCCTCTGGGGCATCCCAGTGCACCAGGTCCGAGCACTTGTCTCATGCATCCAACCTGGGCTGGTGATCCGTTTCACCCTGGATAATATACATGTTTCGATGCTGTTCTCTTGAAACATCCCACCCTCGCCTTCTCCCACAGAGTCCACAAGTCTGTTCTATACATTTGTGTCTCTTTTTCTGTTTTGCATATAGGGTTATCGTTACCATCTTTCTAAATTCCATATATATGTGTTAGTATACTGTAATGGTCTTTATCTTTCTGGCTTACTTCACTCTGTATAATGGGCTCCAGTTTCATCCATCTCATTAGAACTGATTCAAATGAATTCTTTTTAATGGCTGAGTAATATTCCATGGTGTATATGT